TCCTATGTCAAATAACTACTATTGTTAAATGCGTTTTTTTAAGCCTTACAACTTTTATCTGAAACATTTTTCTCTCCCGTGCTTGGTTTTCGACATATTCGACTGGATGGATGGATTAAAATGGATGGATTAAAATGGTCCACCCTGTATATACAGGGTGTCTCACACTCTCCTCTGGGCATTTAGTGGGGACGTAGAATGGGTTGATGTGAACATAAAAGTTCTATACTGTTTTGCGAAATTCGCAATAATTATCGAGATATTAATTGTAGAAAATTTGTGAATGATTATGCAGGATATGGTAAATGAGTTATAGTAGCGACGACTGCTGTCGTGTACTTATACTTTAGGTCAAATTAAACAAAAAAGTCCTCTACCATTTTCCAAATAATCACATAGATTTTTAATTATTAATTAAAGAAGATTATTGCACGATTTTGCGTGATAATGCAGTCATCTTCTTTAATTAATAATTAAAAATCTATGTGATTATTTGTAAAATGGTCGAAGACTTTTTTTTCAATTTGATCTAAAGTATAAGTACACGACGGTAGTCGTTGCTATTATAACTCATTTACCATATCCTGTATGATCATTCACACATTTTCTACAATTAATATCTCGATAATTATTGCAAATATCGCAGAACGGTATAGGACTTTTATGTTTATCTCAACCTGTTCTACGTCCCCACAAAATGCCCGGAGGAGAGTGTAAGACACCCTGTATATATACCTTTGACTATATATGGACTGCGCGCGCGCTAGTCGCTTATCTTTCCGTGCAGTTTGCTATTATTTATAGCACCACCAGTACCGAATAACAACCTTTATCTAATATATCGTGAATTATAATATCATTAAAATATATGAAAAATATACTTTTATTATTTATCACTGAAATATTTTTAAATTATCGTAAAAACTTTTTTGTAACAAATAGTGTTAAAAAGTATATTTCTAATACATCTTAATTATATCACAATTCATGATTATGGACGAAACAATCTTTAAATGAACAAAACAGAAATAAAAATAAGGTTGCAGTTTAGGAAATTGCCTGTAATTTATTTGATTACTGACGACGCTGTGGATGTTAGCAGAAGTCTAAGGTCACTCCTGCCAGTTCATAGTTATATAGCTAAAAATCTACACATAAGATGTCTCAAGATGAAGTTAAAAAAATTCAATAATTTTATTATGATAAAAATTTTATAACTGTATTATTATGTTATTATATTATTACATTATCACGGATACACAAAACTTTTAGGTTTTATTTACCCTAATAACACAGATAGATTCTGAGAATGTTCGAAGAATATTATAAAAGTAGATTGTGTATATCACCTGAATGTTCGACATATGTACTATGTTTTACTAAGAATGTACTAAAAACATTCGTATGTCCCGATTATCCGCTCCTTCAGTATATACTGAAAACCTATAGTATATCACAAGTATATTCAAGGAATATGTAGAGTACGTAATAGCAAATTTTATGTATGTTCTAATAGAATATATATCATTTTATGTATGTTCTAATAGAATAAGATATCAAGTAGGTATATTAATTTATATAATTCAAGATATAACTTTACTAAAATAGTAGTACGCTCAATGCATGTCGCGCGTCGCGTGCGAGTGTGTCCTGTGTCCTACGTTTTATGTAAACAGATCCTGATAACCAATGTTTGTACAGCGCTGGAAAAAAAGCACCATTGATCTGTTCTTTTCAACTGAATTAGTAACACTAATTGTTGAATAAATGTACGCACGCTGAAGCTTGAGAATCTTGTATGGTTCATATGCTTCGATATGTATGTATATTTTTTGAAGTAGTGCAACAAGTTCAGGTAGAATGAACAGACCAAATTGTTAAAATTCTCCCTGTTACTATAAAGCAGTAAATTGATTAACTGCCACAAATGTAGTCCGACCAATCTTACAAATGCTTCGAAATGTTCAAAATATATATTAACAAAATATATATACAATATATATTAACAAAATATATATACAATATATATTAACAAAATATATATACAATATATATTAACAAAATATACATACAATATATATTAACAAAATATATATACAAAATATATATATTTTAAATATATATTGTAATATTATATTAAAATATATGAAAAATATACTTTTAAACACTGTTTATCACTGAAATATTTTTAAATTATTGTAAGAACTTTTTTGTAATAGTGTTAAAAAGTATATTTCTAATACATCTTAATGATATCACAATTTATGATTATAAACAAAACAATCTTCAAATAAACAAAACAGAAATAAAAATACGATGGCAGTTTAGAAAATACAATATATAATATTATTAACCCCTTAACGCTCGTTTTTTTTTTTTTTTTTGAGATAAACGGTCAGAAATAAACTTCCAATAAACTTCAGTCCAAAATAATCATTTTTTTTTATTGAAGATAATTAGTATTTGAATAGTTCTTTATTTGAAAATAAGTATGTAAACTCAATTTTTATGGATAAAAAGGTTCAAAACTCTACTCAAAATTTTCATTACCTAATCTGACACATATATACAAGTTTTATAGCACAGAAAAAATTTGAAATCAGTAAAATTGGGTTATGATTTATAAAAGTTACGCTAAAAAATAAAAAATCAGTTTTGGATTGGAGCTTTCTACACTTAATTGGCATCAAATTCTTCCTGCACTTAAAGTTTTGTCATCATAACGATCCATTTTAATTTTATAATCACTAAAGTTACTAAAGTCTGAAATACTTTCCGACCAATTGGCATATTAAAAATCATTGAGTTGATGCATGAGTTTAGTACGTGCCCGAGCAGCACACATTCACGTGTATTTTAATAACACAAATTTTAAAGTCGCCCGAGTCACACTCGGGCATAAGCAATCTGTCAGTTACCCGCACCCGAATGTGACTCGTTTAGGAGGGTTAAAGGGTTAATTATTACAATATAAAATATATATTTTAAACATTTCAAAGCATTTGTAAGATTGGCCGGACTATATTTGTGACAGTTAATCAATTTACTGCTTTATAGTAACAGGGAAAATTTGATCAATTATTTGATTTGTTCGTTCTACCTGAATTTGTTGCACTACTTCAAAAAATATACATATATATTGACGCCCATGAAGCGTACGTACAAGATTCTTAATCTTCAGTGTGCGTACATTTACTGAACTAGTGTTACCAGTTCAGTTGAAAAAAACACATCAATTGTGCTCTTTTCTCAGAGCTGTACGTTCATTGGATATCAGGGTCTGTCTACATAAAACGTAGGACACAGAACACATTCGTACGCGACATGCAATGAGAGTATTACTATCCAGGTAAAGTTATATTTTGAATTATATCTTGAATTATGTAAATTAATATACCTATTTGATATATCTTATATATATTTTATTAGAACATATAAAATTAATTATTAATGTACATATTCCTTGAATATACTTGTGATATACTATGGGACATTTTCAGTATATACTGAAAAAGCGGATAGTCGGGACATATGAACGTTTTTAGTACACTCTCACAAAGAAACCCACACAAGTGTCCGCCTCTGATTTTCATGAAATTATAATATGTTGTACTTTAGATTAAAATAACAAATACGTTTTTTATTATATGTGCCCTTTCACAAGTTTAAGAGGTGAAATACCTTTTTGAGGAAAATCGGTTTTTTTTCATTCCAAAGGAATATAATGAAAACTATAAGAGATAGAAAAAATATTTTGAATAAAAGTTGAATGATTTGAAGAGTATTTTACAGAATTTATTTTAATAATTATAATAAAGAGAAGTAGTGGGGGAAATATTAACAAAAAAATATTTTTTTTTCAAATAATTTCTGTAAAGTACTCTTCAAACCATCCAACTTTTATTCAAAATATTTTTTTCTATCTCTTATAGTTTTTATTATATTCCTTTCGAATAAAAAAAACCGATTTTCTTCAAAGGAGTATTTCATCTCCTAAACTTGCAAAAGGGCATATATAATAAAAAAAAAACGTATAAAAACATATAATAAAAAAAACATCTATAACGTAATTTTGATCTAAAGAACAACATATTACAAGTTCATGAAAATCAGAGGCAGACACTTGTGTGAGTTTCTTTGTTAGAACATAGTACGTATCTTGAACATTCAGGGGATATACACAATCTACTTTTACGATATTCTCAGAATCTACATGTGCTGGGAGGGTCCCGATTGCCTACAAATTAATTGCCTACAGTATCGATTGCTGACATTCAACTTATCCACATTTCATTTGCACACAAAAATTATTGCCTAGAACAATTACCTACAAGTTGTATTACGCACAAATAAAAAATTAAAAGCCGAACGCTCGTTTGCACACACGACACTTGCGCACAAATCACATTGCACACATAATATTATTGCCTACATTATGATTGCCTATATGCTCTATTGCGCACAAATAAAAATTAAGAGACGAATGAACGTTCGCGCACAAAAATTATTGCCTACAGTAAGATTGCTTACAAGTTCTATTGTACACAAATAAAAATTAAGAGACGAATGCACGTTTGCGCACAAAAATTATTGCCTACAGTAAGATTGCTTACAAGTTCTATTGTGCACAAATAAAAAATTAAGAGACGGACGTACGTTTGCACACACTAAACTATTGCGCACAAGCCACATTGCGCACATAATATTATTGCCTACAGTACGTTTGCCAACAAGTTCTATCGCGCACAAATAAAAATTAAGAGACAAACGTACGTTTGCACACAAAAATAATTGCCTACAGTACGATTGCCTACAAGCTCTATTACGCATAAATAAAAATTAAGAGACGAACGTACGTTTAAAAAATTGGTAATTATCCAGTTATACCATGTATCTCTAGCTATGTAACTGAGGGGCTTTGCCCCCCAGACTCCCCGTATCACGGTGGGATGGGAGCTACAATCTTTCGTGAGAAATTCACTCTTTAGCCCCCCAGTCACATAGCTAGAGATAGATGGTATGACAACGCGTGGATTGAGCCTATTTTCATCGAAATCGGAGGTGTTGCCGCTAAACTAAATAATTACCATATTATGTGTGCAAACGAGCGTTCGGCTTTTAATTTTTTATTTGTGCGTAATAGAGCTTGTAGGCAATCGTACTGTAGTCAATTATTTTTGTGTGCAAACGTACGTTTATCTCTTAATTTTTATTTGTGCGCAATAGAGCTTGTTGGCAAACATACTGTAAGCAATAATATTATGTGCGCAATGTGGTTTGTGCGCGATAGTTTGGTGTGTGCAAACGTACATCCGTCTTTTAATTTTTTATTTGTGCATGGTAGAACTTGTAAGCAATCTTACTGTAGGCAATAATTTTTGTGCGCAAACGTGCATTCGTCTCTTAATTTTTATTTGTGCGCAATAGAGCATATAGGCAATCATACTGTAGGTAATAATATTATATGTGCAATGTGATTTGTGCGCAAGTATCGTGTGTGCAAACGAGCGTCCGGCTTTTAATTTTTTATTTGTGCGTAATACAACTTGTAGGTAATTGTTCTGTAGGCAATAATTTTTGTGTGCAAATGAAATGTGGATAAGTTGAATGTCAGCAATCGATACTGTAGGCAATTAATTTGTAGACAAACGGGATCCTCCCACATGTACTATTAGAGTATGATCTATGCATTGTATATTTTTTTTCTATAACTGAATTGTTTACTCTCTTGTATTACTTCTCTCTCACTCTTCTTTCTTTTTTTCCTCTAAATCACTGTTATATTACTTTCATGATGTATTTATAACATTCGATAATTAAACGGCACATCACTGATGTGTATTGCTTAGTATATTCTACAAATATCCTATTCAATATATTGAATAAATATTCGATTTAATATATACTAAGAATATATGCAAATAATATACTATAAGAAATATTGTGCGGATATTACCATATTATATTTATATTATATAAGTTCAGTATATTCGAATGATATCATGTGTTATCTGAGTAGATTCTGTGACTCAAGAATAAATTTAATTTTCAATTAGCTTACTATAAACTAGTGCCTTTAGTTACGTTACTTTATAAGATGTTTCACCCATTTTCTTTGTAAATACTGTATTACTTTATTATAAACTGTAAATATTTCTTGTAGGTCAAGCAGTCAAAGACCTCCTAGTGGTTCATCTAGCCGGCGAAGCGAGCAAACTGGTGGTATTTGCGGATTCTGAGATTCGTGCGGTCCCGTTGCATCATTGCGACTCGCCAGCTGTAGCTACTTGCAAGTCCTGCGTCGCTTTACAAGATCCTCATTGCGCCTGGGACGCAACCGCGAACCTCTGTGTGGCCGTGCTAACTAAGCTACACGACAGCGACGCTGACAAAACCTTGTTTCAAGATATTTCAACCGGAAGACATAGAAACTGCGGATACGAACAAGGTACGGCTTAATATAAATTGCATTTGTCGTATATTTGTCGTAGAGCACTTGCTACTTTTGCAAATGTATGTATTGGAAGTATGCTATGACACAGTATATCCTTAGCCATTATAATGCTTTAAATTAATCTACAAGAAACATTTGAAAAACCAATTTTTGATCTTTTAACCAATCGATCTAGCTGTTTTCAAATTTTCTGTTAAGAAACGCTGTAATTAGCTGTGCAAAGTGAGCAAGGTATCTCTTTTCTTGGTACTATATGGGTTTTTGCATGTTTAGTGAAATATTTTCTAATACTTGTAGTGAAATTTCTGTAAAAAATTAATCATATTTGTGGTTGTTAAACTAACTACTAATTCAGCAAACACAGCATATAGCTTGTAACACATAGTACAATGACACTATTATACTTTATTTATGATAAGGTTATATATATATATATATATATATATATAT